AATTTATTTTATCTTTATGATTGTGATATATCAGGCTTGAATAAATACAATAATTGTCAAAAGCAATAGCATTATTTTCTATACTCATTCTATATCTACTTTTTTATTACTTAATTCTATTTTCATCTTCTCTTCTATAATGTAATTATCCTAACCTTAATGTATAAGAAATTTATAAAACTTAATAAAAAAATTCAATATTATTTTTTAAAAAAGAAAGGAATAGAAAGAAGATTTGTATGATTTGTTAGCTTCATCGAAAAATTTGGACTAATAAAGATACAAAGTAATAATTGAAATATTGAAAAAAGAAAACGTTTCAGACTGTTTAAAATATCTTTAAGATGATGAAAATCTCGTACGTTGTTAATAGTCCATTTTAAAAGCAATGATTAAAACGTCGATTAAGAAGGTATGGTGAAAAATAAAATGAAGATAATGATTGATATTTTGAAATAAGTTAAAGATCATGACTTTAATAAAAAAAATTATTAAGAAGACCTCTTTGAAGTATGTAGAAAAGATCTAAAAAAAAAAATCAAAAGACGATTAAATAGTCTAATTGTTAAAATTTTTAATTTAACTCACAACTGTGGATGAAACATTTATTAAAGGTGGGTCAAATGGACTAAATTTATTAGTAGGTTTGAAATATGATCTGACGAACCATTGCTTTTAAAACATTCAGATCAAAAATAGTTGTTTGATTGGCAGAAATTTTGCAAGTTTTGATTTAAGTGGATCTAAATTTGAAAATGTTGATATTAGTGAAGTTAATCTAAATGGAACTCTATTGTTAAATTGTAAATGGAAAAACATTAAAATACATGAGTTGCACTAATTGTAAGGGCATACTGATTGTGTTTTCTCAGTATGCTTCTCACCAGATAGAACTAAAATGGCATCTGGAGGTGGAAAAAAAAATATAAGGCGGTGGAGATTGTTCAATACGTCTATGGGATGTTAAGACAGGATAATAAAACACCAAAATAGATGGTCATCGTGATACTGTTCGATCTTTATGCTCTTTAAGCTCTTCA